CTTACTTACTTACTTACTTACTTACTTACTTACTTACTTACTTATATACTTACTTATATACTTACTTACTTACTTACTTACTTACTTACTTACTTACTTACTTACTTAATCATCTATTTCTTACCAATAATAGAATCCCAATCCCATTTCTCGGGTAAATAGGTGAACTCTTTCGTCGACATTTTCAAATCTGAAAAAAATAGTTTGTAAAAAATAAAGATAGGAGAGGGCATTCCCGTCTAACTTTTTAAAACAAATTCTGCTGTGTTGGGTTTAATTGCAATTATTTTATAGTGCAAAGTGCATATAGTGCAATAATGTAAACAATATTATTTGTTAATTCGACCTATATATCTGGAAAAATGAAGAATATATTAGGGTAGTGAACAGTTGATTTAAATTCTAATGTGACGTATTAGATCAGCTTTAAAACTAGTTTTAATTGTAGACATACAATATTAAGCAATGATAGCCTGGTTTTCCTGTTGAAGCACAAGGCCTTGAAAAAAAAACTTTTATATTGATCATCAAGTTGTTTGGAAGATTTTTTGAGAAACTAAATTAAAAAGTAAAAACTTTTTGGGAAGATTTTTTTTTCAAGATTTGAATACAAAAGTTATGTTATTTAGACTTTAAAAGTATATACTATAGATACATAAATAATGTGCATTGCAATCTGTCTGACAAAAACTAGAAAACACTTGTTACATATTTACAATTCTTAATTTTTAAGAGAAATGGGTCTGCATTAGTATAACTTACTCGTAAGCGAAAAAATCTTTGCGATACAATCATACATTAGGAAAATATATTAAGATTCTATTGTGTATTATAAAATATTTAAAGGGTAAGCGTAATTTCAAGTTACCTTCCATGCAATGCTCGATTTACAGCGGTACCCTTGAAAGCCTTTTATGATCAAGTATGAATTAGATATCAATGATTTTGTTTCTTTGAATTATTTATTTTAATTTGCGGTGACTTGTGCATTTTGTGTCAATAGAAGCAATAAAGAATCTCACAGAAAAACACTTTTCGAGTTAGAAAAACAACATTATCTGTAAACCTGAACTATGTTGTACATTATTAATTATCTACGCTGTAAATAACTACATGATTAAACATGCATTGTGATTTGCTTAACTACGTTTATATATATATATCCACGCTAATCTTAAATATGTATCTAAAAACTTAAACTACTCTGTAAACATGTATTGTGGTAGCTTAACTACATTATATCTATCCGCACTAATCCTGTAAATATGTACCTTAAACTTAAAACTACCCTTTAAATATATATAGACGTATAACTTATTATTATGTCAGTTAAGAAATTAGTTGATATAGAGACTCTGACTGATTACTGCAAGAGAGTAATCATTCCTTGTTCTGACAAACAAGTTGAGGATTGTGCCAATTGGTTTTGCATTTATAGTTTACAAGCTAGTGTTGAGTTGACATCGATAGCTGACAAGATAGTGCCCATTCGTTTGGCATTGATAGTTTACAGGCTAGTGTCAGGTTGAAATCAATAGCTGACAAGATTGTGCCCATTCATTTGGCATTGATAGTTTACAAGCTAATGTTTGTGTTGACATTGATAGCTGACAAGACTGTGCCCATTGGTTTGGCCTTGAAAGTTTACCAGCTAGGATCCGAGTTGACATGGATAGCTACCAAGATTGTGCCATTTGGTTTGACATTGATAGTAAAGTGAAATTGAATAGATACAGGTTTGAGAAACCCTCTTGGAGTAGGGAATTTACTACAAAAGGAACCCTAGTTAACTGCCACAGACTCCAAGGGAAAAAAGTACAAGTAATTACCTGCTTTCAATAGTAATAGGAGAAAAACGGTGTCAGAAGAACAGTAACAGTGTATCAGAATGTAAGTGGACAGTTTTGATAAAGAACCAGATATCTGAAGACCATGCATGAAGGAAACTGGAAGAGAAGATGGAAAACTTTAACATGAGGAATTTGAAGCCCAGTTGCAAAAAGTGGAAGAAATGAAGTTGCAATGCAGAAAGAAAATTGAAGAATGGAAAACATTGAAAAAGATTAAAGAATTAAAAACAATGTTGGAACAGAACAAGAAGATGGATAAATCACAACAACGTATGGAACATCTACAGGGAGTAGTGGAAACAGGGGTAGCAACCGAGGATACTTATGACAAGATGCGTGATTTAGACAATAGTACCAGAGAAAGAGTACAGGGTTTCATTGAAAGAGCTCCCAAATATGATGGAAATCCTGGGATAATCTTAGGTTAGGTTTTTTCAAGCAGGATTAGCATTTGAGAGATATTAAACAGGAGTGTTTTTTGCAGAAATGATGAAAAGATTCTTATAACAAAAATATGATGAAAGCCAGGGACAGAAATACCTAGACAAGAAACAGAGAAAGGAGGAGGATACCAGAAGAGCTCATGCTGAAGTGATGAAGTTAAACCTGAAACAGGAATACCTAGACAGGTATCAAGTTAGTGATAAAGATATCCCAGTTAATATTATGCTGCCAAGGAAGAGTTATTGATACAAGCATATGCTCCAAACAAGAGGAGCCTGGTGAAATTTAAAGATGAAATGTTCAAAGGACTGTATGATGCAGAGTTGAAGGAAACATGCCTGCTTTTCATGCTTAACGATCCAAAATAGAATGAAGAGATTCAGGCAGTACTAATTGGTCTAGTTGTCTCCTGATAGACATGAGTTATAGACTATGTATATTAATAGTTTTGAGATGAAAGACAGCAAGAGAGGGGATAAAATGTGGGAAACAAGAAACAGCAACACAGATAGTTCTGAGAAGACAGAAAACAGCAAGAGTTTTGTAAAAATTGGAGAAACAGGAACAGGGAACCAGTTGTGGCAGCGGATACAAGTTTAGCAAGAGAACAGTTCTAACAATGTATGTCTGAAAACCCTGGAATTGGATGAAGTTAACAGTGCAAAAAGGAAGGATGCTGATTTGAGAAATATTTCCGATAGTTTAAAAATCCGGACTGTTAATCCTGAATTCCCTGGAGACCAGAAGTATCCCAGAAAAATACAAGGAATAGTGATGGTTCGGGAAAAGATCCTGAGTCTAAAGAATAAGAATTGGAGGAATAATGAAGAAAAAGTTGAGAAACAAAGGGAACCAAGCTATCTAGATTGGCTGGATAGAGTGGAAACCTTGATTAGTGATGAAGAGAAAGCTCTCTTGAATAGTACAGAAGATCTGTTGCAATGGTTGAACATTTAAAAGCCAATGAACTTATTTTTTCATCTCAGCATAGTTTTGTGAATAGGCGCTCGTGCCTAACAAATTTACTTGAGTACTTTGAAAAAGTCACAGAATTGATAGATCAAGGCAACTCAATGGACATTTTATATCTAGACTTTGCTAAAGCCTTTGACAAAGTGTTACATCGTAAATTGGAAGTGCTACTTGAGAAACATTGTATTTCAGGAAATATAAAAGGTTGGATAAAAGAACGTTTGTCTGATAGACACCAAAGAGTTGTGTAAAATGGGGAGTACTCTAACTGGCTACCTGTTACTAGTGGAGTACCCGGGGGGTCAGTGCTCGGGCCAACCCTGTTTGTCATCTTTATTAATACTTTAGACATCTATCTTCAAGACTATCCAGTGTTATTATCTAAATTTGCTGATGATACTAAAGTTGGTATGCCTGTAACAATGAAACTGATTCTATAGTTCTACAAAATGTTATAAATACTCTCAGTGACTGGTCTGATGATCTGTCAATGAAATTTAATTCTGGAAAGTATAAAGTGATGCATGTTGGTGGGAGAAATAATCATTTCACCTACACAATGCATGGTTTTGCTCCCAGTGGTACAGTGTTGGAGTTTGTAGATGAGGAGAAGGATGTAGGAGTGAAGATTTCTAATACATCGAAACCTTCAAGTCAATGTCAAGCTGCAGCATTGAAAGCAAACCAACTAGTAGGACAAATGTCTAGATCTTTTACATACCAAGACAAATCAATTGGATAAGACTGTACAAAGTTTATGTGAGACCTAATCTAGAATATGCTGTCCAAGCATGGTCACTCTGGAACCAGAAGGATATTGACCTCCTTGAGGATGTCCAGAAAAGAGTTGTGAGAATGACAGCAGGACTGAAGCCAGGAACCTACCAAGACAAGCTGAAAGAATTAGGCTTACCCTCCCTAGAGGAGAGAAGAAGA